TGTTTAACCCGACCTCAAATTCTTCCTCGTCAAGGAGTCAACCATGCAGGCGATTAAACAAACAATCGGACACCCGTTTAAATGTCAATTTGCACAAACGGTCGAAGAATCGCCTTCGGTCGAGACTTTTCAAAGCAACTTTTAGTAAGAAATGGTTCCAGCGAAGGTGCGTTTTGATGCTTAGTGAATGAGAATAAGTTGATAGTTGCGGAATGTGTTGATTTTTGAGACCGGTACAAAAAGACGTTTTTAATTATTGATAGGGTTGGAGTAGCTCTCTTCTGAATGGTCCATCTCTGACCAATAAAATATTGTGCCTGGCATTTAATTAAGAAAATCAGTTACAAAGCGTGCAGCTATGATTCCTCAGCGGGTTTAAGGCGGTTGTTTACAAAATGCGCCAAGTTTCTATTGAGCGCCAAGCCGTGGCATTCAAATTCAAACAAAGACAAAGCTTACTGTCCTTAGTTTATAGAGTCGATTAATTTGGGCTTTGGCATTTAAATCCCACCTTAATCATTGAACCCACACACAGCTAAAGGACATTTTTACCTCCGTGCACTTGGAGAGGTTGCCAGGACATTCACGGGGATCAAGCGGTCCAAAACGAAGTGCTGTCTCGTTGCCTAGGACAACAGCTTCCACGCTGCTGTCGTATTGCACGCTAAAGGAGCTCGCGTTACGCAGAGTGAGCGCGCCGAATTGAAAGGGGATATCAAGTCGACTGGCCAATAGGAGGTCGTGGATTGTTGGATCCAGGAGACCAAGGCCGTGCCACAGACGCAAACTGTCGCCTCCGATGGGGCTGTTGCCGAGGAAACCGAACATCTGTGCGTACTCTCGCGGTGTCATGTAGTGATTGAAGTGGGCTATCTCGGAGAAGGCAAGATGTGCCATTTCCCAGAAAATCGGCAGGTTTGAAGCTGTGGGCTTATTGCTAGCCGCCTCGGCTTCAGCTGGACTCAACCAGGTGGACGAGTCGTCGGTGTTGAAGCGGCCAACAACCAAGTAGGGCGGTGGAATGTAGCCTTTGTATCGCGTCTTGGGTTTACTCGAAGGTAAGTTTATGTCGACACCGTTAATTAGGATCCGCATTCCGTCCGATACGCTCCAAGTCACCCCAAGATTCAGCCATTGATCTACAAACAAAAAATCAGAAGAGTGTAAAAGACCGTCTGTTAACTTCAACCAATCAACCAGGCCTCTGCTTTCTTACCTATCTTGTAGGTTTTGGAATCGAGCATAATTTCCCAGTCACGGTTGCCCTCGGATATCGTCACACCGACCAAGTCTCCCAGGGTGAAAATTGCCCAGCCGTGACCGTCCATCACGGCCGGGATGTCACTGCTTCCAGCGTCCCCAGAGTTGAAGATATACCTGTGCCTCGAACCGCCTGTCGACTGGAGCGAAAGCCAAATCGAAAAAGTGACGCCCTTCTCACCGCAAGACTTGTCCATAGTATCGTGAAGGCAATGGTGGTGCCACTGCAAATCCTCCTGACTTGGAAGTTCCTTCTTTGCGCGACCTAAGGGTGACGCATTTAGGGTAAATGGGAGAAAGGAACTGTTGTGGGTGCCGGCATGTGGTCTTGAACCACGCCGGGGCCACTGATGTTAACCCTGGCCAGATTACTCTACCCTGGTACCCCCTATTAGGAAAAAGACCCGAGAGGACGTGGACACAACCGTTTACTTCCGAACTCAACCACGTTGGTGCTGTTGTGTCGTGCGTGGGGTTTGCGCGTGTGTACTTATACCTCAGATGCGTAAGTCATCGAGACCTAGGTGTGAAGGTAACCCAGGATAAATATTTGTGCGATTGAGGGGGGAGTTGAGGATCCGCGCGGCTGGCGACATGCTGCGAAAAGGGGAACCCTGTGTCGGAAGCTGGAGCGACCGGATTAAGGGGTGTGAATAAACGCGATTCACAACATAACTCCCATTGGTGGATATCAGTCCACCTACGTCAGCTGAGGTCAAGAGTATAGTAATTCCCGTTTAACTCTTCAAGCACTGACTTGGGTTCATTAACTTGAGGCTCAGTCGTATGCAATATTTTACACACGCTTACTGTCACATTGTCACACACACACACAGCAAGCCAAATCAATACAGATTTCGATCTCTTTCGTGGTCGCGCCGTCTATACGCAGATTTATGGCTTCGATCTGGATTCAAGCTCCACACCACGAACCCGACACTATCAACAACTTGATCGCCAAGCGTACTAAATGAAAGAACAGCTTATTTAAGGATCAAGTGTGTACACACTTGACTGTACTTGACTGTCGTGAGCCGGTTTTTCCAACTCCAGATTGTCAAAGCAATCAGCAGTTGTCTCGAGAATCTACCATCGTTTCAAGAATCGGCATGATTAACTAAGAGATACGACGGTTTTAGAGATACAGTCACTGATAAACAGTCCTGCTTTATCCGAGTTTTTGCATCCTCACCAAGCATGAAGTAGTCGGTTTTTCGCATTGAGAGTATCGGTGTGGGGCTCTGTTCATTCTGGTCTGGAATGAAGCGCACTGGTTGGACGCCTCTCGGTTTGTAGACAGAGACTAGCTTGAAATTGGGAGTCGGTGAGTCCGCATCTGTCTCGCCATAGCGCTTTTTCTCGTAGGCCGCGTGGCAAGGCGCGTCGTGGAGCAGATAGGCGTCAACTGACCAATAACGATCAGATTGCGACAGCAGTCGAAGTTGAGCGGCTAAAGGATGAATAATGCAATACAAACATGAGGTACACACAGAGGAGACGGGAGGTTATTTTGGGAGATTGGTAGACCCACGTGTGTAGCCAATAAATCGATGACCCTCCTCCGCTAATGTGATCCTTGTCCAGTACACGAGATCACTGATAACAACACCGCTGGTGGTGTTCCCCACGGCGCCGCTACCAATGAGAATGTCGCCAGATACCACGCCCTCGTGGACTTCCGTGCTTTCCATTGATTGGGCGGCGAAGGCCATTGTGGTCTGTGGGAGGCCGTTAATGAAGCCCGTTGCCAACTTGGTGGGTTCACCGGATAGGGAAAATCCCAAATTGAAGAACTCGTCGCGCACAACCTCCATCACCAGACGCGTTACCTGCCATCTTTCTCCGTCGGACACTGAAAGAGTGGACCAATGAAGCATCTGGTTACTGAAACAGCCTATGGCGACTAGGAAGCCGGCACAGTTTGCAAGCACTTGTGAACACAAATCAATCGATTTTTTTCGTGAATGCACTGTAGTGGACAGACAGCCACCGCACGTGAGTGCTGGGTGTGTGCTTGCCCGACTGTATCAATGATTCACCCTCGTTTTTATTGATTTTTGTTAGCAGTCGCTTGTAACGCACGTGTATCGATACGCACACAGAAGTTAGCTACTCGATTTAACTCGACTTGACTCGACTGGCGTGACGCGAATAAACGGTCGTGTTCTCTTTCGACTCTTTGTATCCTCTTTTCTCCCGTTGTGACCGGCTGTTATCTATAGGGTTTTGTGGTAGTGCAAATTTAAGCCCCTACAGGTCTCACCTTAGACCTGCCCGTATCGATTACATTGTAGTGCACTGATGACAGTAACCAATGAAATTTCACTGAGCCATCAGCACCATCTGGTCTGTAAAAAGGCTTTACTCAAGCGAAAGGTTGTAGTCGACACCAGAAAAGATTACGGAAGGGTCCACTGAGCAACATACGAATCTCCTTGAAGCCACGTGGAATCAAGGTATCGTCGTGTAGGAAATAAGCACATGATGAGGCGGTTGGTATCTTCCTACTCCATTTACATCAAACTGGATTTAAACATGGCGTCAACAATCTCACCGTCAAGATATTCTAAAGCCCTTAGTGCCACGACATAAAGGCCCCACTTGCATACCGAAGACATGCAGGAAGTCGCCGAAGAGGACGATTTTGACCTGACCAAAGACCTCGAAAAGCGTTAAGTACTTGTTGGTGGGTCTGAGAGACGCAGGCACCATCACCCAGGCTCCTATTGAAAAACCGTTCTGGCATTTGGCGAAGTTGGTGGGACACGTGTCTTTGACGGCGTCTTTCACCTTCAAAGAAAAGAGAATTTCTACTGAAATGTTAGCAGTAGCTCGTAATGCTGCTAAAAATCTAAGTTTTGCCTATTAAAAATTCCCATGCATATTTGAGCGGCATTTTGCCAAGTCCCGTACCTTGTAGAACGCTTCAGAAGTATTGAGCTTGTAGGATCCCCGGTTACGGCAATTGGTTGGAATGTACTCAACATCCTGACCCCTGGTTGTGTTTGGCGAGGCTGTGAACTCGAAGAATCCATCCGCAGTGACGTAATAGGGATTGGCTGGTAATTGGGACCAGTTTTGAGGCTGGTACTCCTCAACCAGCGTTGTGTAGTCGACTTTCTGGTCAGTTGGCTTGGAGTCGTCTTGTGGTAGCCCAGTTGGCGCATTGGAACGGTCAGCTGAAAATTCATATGCGAATAATCCTGAATGTCGCCAAATTTCAGTCATTATCGCTTAAATTACCCTCATTAATGCCTGACTGCCCATTATTGCCGATTTTGTTAACATTTACGCATAATCTCAAAGAGGTTTTGAGTAGCAATCCACCATTCAGGTTTGCAAATTTGTTTAGTGCCTTTTGTTTAGTTAAATAAACATGTCTACTTACATTGGATTAGTAGTAATGGCATAATCTTGTATGGAGTAAGCGTTCATGATTGCTAGAGATTGACGCTAAAGTAGGCGTACTTAAACTACTCTAGACGATTTTCTACAAACTAAGACTCAGCTCGAAGTCTGAGTGTCTTTAGTTGAGGAGACCTATTTACTTAAATTGGGCTAGTAGTAATGGCATAATCTTGCACGAAGTAAGCGTTCATGATTGCCAGAGATTGGTGGCGCTACAGTAGGTGTACTTTAACCACTCCAGACGATATTCTACAAAATGAGAGTCAATTCAAGGTCTGAATGTCTTCAGTTGAAGCGACCTATCTACTTAAATTAGGCCAGTAGTAATAGCATAGTCTTGTTCGAATTAAGCCTTCATGACTGCTGGAGATTGTTGGCGCTAAAGTAGGCGTACTTAAACTACTCTAGACGATTCTCTGCAAACTAAGACTCAACTCAATTCCTGGGGAAAGATATCTGACAAAAGTATGACACATTAGAATAGACTTCAGTTTTAAACTGGATAAACGGACAATGAGACGTGCGTTGACGTGGTGGAATGCGGTGTGGAACGTAGGAATGCGGACGCTATGCTCACCTTTGCTTCCGAGGAAGAGGACGTGGAGTTGTAGAGGCCAGTACCACAGGGCTGGGTGGGTCAAGTAGGCGTCTTCCACGCCAGTCTCGGGGTCTCCGAATTCGCCGTCAGACGAGCAGCCGAGCCAGAGCGACGTCGGAGGAGCTTTGGGTAAGCCGTTTATGCTTTCACTGCTGCTCCCGGTGCATGTTCGTAGGACCTCATTGTTAAGGATTACCTGTAAAAGTACAAAGTCATTCTACTGAATATTTGAGAGTAGCATGGATTGCGAAACTCACAGAAATGTCCCCTGTGTAAGATCTCCACGTGAAGCCAATGTTGTTCCACGAGCGAGTTTCGATTGAAACAGTCACGGAACAAACCCATGAACGCTGGGACCCACTCAGCTCGACGGTTAAAATTTCATTTTTTATGAACATCGAGAATCCAGCCTCTCCTTGCGGTGCTAAAACGCAATTTGATCATTGAAATATCTGGAAAGTGGTCAGTTAATCCAGGTATTCAGTCATTTTAATAGTTTAGAGCAATTGATCAATGTAAAGTGTTTGAAAAGCTGGATTTAGATTGCATTTGGGAGTCAAGCTAGATGCGTCTCTTTCCAAAACCGTTTGGGCTAACCATAATTGGTGCCATCTCAAGTACCCACATTCAGATGCCTCCTAACCACTCGGAACACCAGACATTTTATCCCACACGCCCTGGAATTTGTGATTGAAAGGAAATGGTAGTGAAATAAGCTCTTTTTTCCAAATAACTCGCCTCCCAAAACCTGTTTTTCACTAAAGCCCAGATCTGAGTAATTGATAGTAAGTTGTACCATTAAGGTTGCTGCTGATTTTTTAAGAAAAAGAGATCATATTTCCATCATGTATCAAGTAGGTCTTCTCCTGATAGATAGCCAATAGGCATTAAAGGGTTCATTTTCCTAACATGTTCGATTTGTAAACTTAGCAAGCTGTGATCCCTGTTAGCCGAGTGGAGATCATTACGACCAAAAAGGCATTTAAATGTGATGAAGAGGCACTAAAATGACGCCCACCTATCGTGTCTGGATGGTTATAAATCAGGCACGCTTGAAATTACTTAAAGAGGTCAAATTAAGACGTTGTCTTGCATTAGAGATTCTTGGGAAAGAGATTCTCGCGGAGGCGTTTAGTCGCATTGAAATTTCGCACAAACACGATTTCTTAATTATCCACCAAGCATTCAAACTGGCTGGTCACCACACACCAACGCGTTTCTGAGAACGCTGATGCGAACTGTTGGAAATGCAAGAGAGGTGAAAAGCCCGGTTCCTCACCTGTGCTCAAGAGCGTTTCCCGACCAGAGGCGGCGAGAGAGTTGAAGTAGACCCAGACGCTGGCGGACAGACCGTAGTCGCAGGCCTCGGGGTCGAGCAGGCAGTCTCGGAAGTACTTTCTCTCCTGCGCAAGGTCCGCCACCAGCCGAAAGCAGGGTCTGCTGAGGTCTCGACCCAGCCAGACACTCCTGGTGTCCTCGGTGAACAGACCGCCGGCCAGTTGACTCTCTCCAACGAACTCGTCGATGGAGTTGAGCGTCTTCAGAAGGCTTGGCGGCGACTGGTCAAAGTCCTCCTTGTACGGCGACGTTGTCAACTTCTGGTCGTACTTGCTGTAGCGATCAAAGAGCTCTTCCGACAGGAAGTTGGCTTCAGGTGCGAGGTCGGTTATCCACGGAGTGCCATGAGTGAAGACCCAGTAGTGGTTCGCGGTCGACTGGTAGCTGACATCTAAATTACCGAGCAGAGTTGGCCTTGAACAAGCGATTTTTTAGCCTAGCGTGACAAATATCTTATTTCAACAGGCAAGCATGCTTAATTTAATGTCTAAATTACCACCTACCCTTCTGACTAGTCAAATTCACTAATGAGGACATGTGTAGTCAGGACTCATATCGTGGTTAGCGCTAAAACCGATTGTTAGCTATATGATCAACGAGACTAGTACGCGTCCTTTGACGATCTGACGTTAATACTGCCAATTTCACAAACGTTTATACTACTGATTTCAGCCACAGACAAGTAGGCCCTTACTGAATAGGTCTTCAGTAGGCAATTCATAGACTCGAATCAGCGAAGGTGTTGTTGGAGGCGGAACTGGATCTGGAACGAGCTGCGGTTTTGTTACGGGCGCTGTTGGATTGAAAGAAGGTTCAGTTAGGTCAGCTCAAGGTCGTGAAAAGCATCTCCTTGAGGAACACGAGCCAGCCATACCTAGAGGCTTCGGTGTAGCTAACTCGCAGGTTAGTGCAAGCTGTGTTGGCTGTGTTCTAAATGCAGAGACTTAATTTTTCAGCAAACGAAATTTCCTTATTTTCAGTGATCAACATAGCAGTAGTTGATTGGACGCTAAGAAAAAAGCCGATGTAGGCGAAGATTAACTTCAAAATCTGATTGGTTAAGATGAAGCGAGGGAATGTTAAATTTAAAAGTTAGCGCCATATTTGAATAAGGCCAGATCTCATCAGTGAGGTTTAAGTGACACCAAAATAGTGCGAATATTTCTACATCTCTGCCATCGATGTAAACCGCATACTGTGTAAACGTGTAAACGAAGAGAACTCACCCAAAGTAGTCGGTGTTGTTGATGTTATTGGCGCAGCGGTGGTTGTTGCTACAACAAATGCGTTCGAGATTACAGCCCACTGACGGTTTTGTCCAAAATTATCAAAAACTACCATCCACTGATGGCCCAACTGATTCCACGAATCTTTTCCCGGTCGTTTCACAGGCCAATCTTATGCACAGTGTGACATGTAGTCTCTTAAAACAGTTATTTTGTCAACTAACACAATTCGCCTGTCTCCACTTGCAGTGTCTTAATGAGTTTAACGGAAAGGCAAAAAAACTAGTCTCAGAACTTACCCCGTACAGTCGCATCTAAAAGGCAAAATCGCAGTTTAGCGTTCAGAAAAATCACGTTCACTTACGTTGGCATGCATGCTTAATCACATACTCTAGCCTACTCTAAATTATACACGTGTTTGTAAGTTATTTTTAAAGAGAAGCCGAAAAAAGAGATGTCAGAAGAACGAAATTAAGGGGGTAAGAGAGTCGATGGTGAAAGGGGAGGTGAGTAAGTCATTCAGCTGGCAAGGCATTGCCGTCGAATCCTGTTCCTTGTTGGCCAATTTCCAGTAAAATCTACGAAAGATAAAGGCAGGTAAGCGCACTTTAGTGAACATACAGTCGTTGTGTGCCTGAGTGTCAACCATAACCAAAAAATTGTCCAACTTCCAGTCTTATACTGCCGAAGTAACGAATATGCTGCAATTGTTTCGGGAGAACAATGACACTGCCGGTTGTCATGGCTGCCACCGTTGTTTTAATTAGCCTTAACAATTAACTGAGGCCGGTTGTTCGTTGCCACGGCAACAATTTTTTGGGGCAAGTAATACTCCCTTAGGGGTGGCTCCATGTCTTGTAGAAAACGCGGCATAACATTCTCCCCGCGTGACCCCCCCCTCTAAACGACTGTAAATTGACGGACCAGCTGAATCCTTAAAAATAAACCAAAATTTGGTTTTCTGAAGTGGCTGTCTTAATAAAATCTGGTAGCTTCGATTGGCTGCATTAGGCTAAAATGCTCATTTCGGGCCACTTTCTGTGTGGTACAAATTGGTTTTCTATGTAGATCGTGTCAGGGTTTCCAGTTGTTCAGTATCTGCTGGTAGGTCTCGTTTGTAAGGTGATTGAACGCGTCGTAATGTCGCTGACTGTGATTGGATGGAATTGAGTGACCACTAGGATTCGGAGACGCACGATGAGAGGCATTAGGGTGAGCAAGAATGGAAGAAGTTTAAAATACGACTAAAACAGACGTGGAAATGCTCAACAGGTTACAACCTGAGATCTCTGGGTAGGGCAGTATTGACGTATTTGGATGCGAAGCATCCGCTGTCAGCGGATGTGGAATTTAACATTTCTGCTGATCATCAAATCAAGTCGCTGACCGTCTTGACGACTTTAACTGGTGGCAGGAAGATGGTACGCGAATGGGGATCATTCTACCCTGGTCCCTAATCAATGCGATTGGTATTTTGAACATCAAGTAATACCTACAAAGTAAAGGTGCTTGAATGAATTGTGAATGAACATCTGGGCTAGTTGTGGCTGTCCAAAGATGACTCAACAACGTGTTCGCAATTAATGGATAGAACTACGAACCGAAATACTTACTTAAGTAATATCCAAAGTTACCCTCAGTCACAAAATAAAAAAAATGTGGCCTTTTGCTGTGTCTGTGGAATGTTAATCAACAAAATTTGCTTTTGACGTCGTCTCTTTCCCTGTACTTCCCTAAAAACTGTGATTATATACAAGTAAAGATGAATATTTAACGACCGAACATGGCTTGAATTTGGCATAGCCCAGTCAAAACCAACGACCTTCGAGTTTGAATGACCTGAAGAGGTCCAAAGGTGTGGGAAGGGGCGTCTGATTGATTTAATCAGGGTTGTTAAGATCTGCATTACACAGCCTCTTTCAGCGACGACAATTAATCTGACTTATAGCAACTATTAGGAGATGTCAAGTCATAAGTAGGAACAGTGTCAAGTCACTCCCAGTTTTGAAAAGTGATTTTATCCTAACTGCGTGATTCTCTGTCTTTTTCTGTTATTCTCTTGCCCCTGACAATAAATTGTTGCATTTTTTCACAAAATAAGCTTGGTAGCTGTCAGTTAAAACCAGCAAAAGGCGTTAACCTGCTTTCTGTTTGTTATGGCTGGGTATTTTTAAGGCATCTTGGTACATTTTTCCTTGAAAATAACAAGTAGAATTTACAACCGTTTACATGATTTCGATTTAAACAAACTGGTTACTGAAATTTTATTAGGCACATGGATTAAATATTTTGTTTTTTTGTGTTTCTGTAAGATACGTTCGACCTTGATGGCCTTGCACTGCAAGATACACAGTCAGTTACCAGAATTTACGACAGATTTCTCGCCAAGTTTGTTGTTAATTTGTCGAAAACGAGTTCAACTACACGCACACAATCATTCGAATAAAACTGAAGTTTTACGCAAGTTTAACTGAGAATTAACCCGTCAAAAATGATTTATAACGTATAATGAAGTGCTGTGACACGTTACTGCCCTCAGTAACTTCAAGATGAATTAATGTACGCTACTATCACATAAATAAGTAGCACTTATTTTATCTCGCCAGAAATTCTTGAAACTGAGAATAGGACCGCACTATTGTGCCTGGAAATCCTACTAGCACAAAGCATAGAAGGCGAAAATCGCAACTTTAGAAAGCAAACTTTTTAAAATCACCACACAAAACAAATAGACTTCCCAACCAATTTTGCTGATTAGCTACCATCTCCATTGGACATTTGTTAAAAAAAAAACAATATTTCTTTTAAATTTTCTTTTAATAATTGATCTACTCGTCGACCTCCCATCATCACCCACATCTCACAAGAAGGTTAATTAAACCGCCAATCCGCTTGACAGATTGAAACATTCAATGTACAGCTGATTCACTAAAGCGGCATCCAGTATCGTTTTAAAAGTACATATCTAACTAAATCAGTGCTCATAGTGGCTTTCAGCTTGTCTCAGTTCTTGTAAACAATTTGTTTAAGATGCTGTAGGGTCTCTGGAGGGCGTTTTGAGTCACTCATCCATCAAATTGAGGGGTCACGTAGTTTTCATGGTTTCTAAGCAACAAAATTACCCTGACTAATCACTTATAGTCTTCGGGTTATAAGCAAAATTCGAATTTCATCTTAAATAACAATCAAACGTACTTAGAACGTTCCAGAGCTGTTGACTGGTTGTTATAGCAACCTAGAAAGCAATAAACCTGTCCAATGAATATGCATGTTGTCTTCTAAATGTGTTTGGTAGCATTTAACTGCGTCGGACGTATTTTAGCCGGTCAGTTTGCCATTGCATTGCGAAACCATTTAAACCAAGAGACAACCCTACTGATTAGCTTCAAATGAGGACTAAAATTTTAATAAGTAGTATTTTAAAGTAATGTTTCCTTTTTGCAGAACTCAGTACAACCTTCCCTACGACAGAGCCTACACTGTTAGCCACAATCTGCAATTCAAACCGATTTCGACAGGTGAACTCATATTGACCAAAGTTGCACCACACTAGAGCGATAAATCCTTGCATTCAGATTAAACCATCACTCAGGCACATTCGTCATTTGCTCCCTGGCGCCTCTTCCTCGTTTTTTCTTACTTCAGGAAGCAAATAAAATGAACAAATGACAGTAACCACTTCTGGGTGACTTATTTCGGGGCCGCAACATGTGTTCTTGAACCATGCCGGGGCAACTGATGTTAACCCTGGCCCGATTAGGCTTCCCTGATACCCGCGACGAGGAAGAAGACCGGAGAGGACGAGGAAACAATCGTTTACTTTAGAGTTCAACCACGTTGGTGTCGTTGTGTCGTGTGTAGGGTTTGCGCGTGTGTATTTATACCTCAGATGTGCGAGTCATACATGCGCTAACATCGGGATCTAGGTGTGAGAATAAGTCAAGATAAATATTCGTGCTAATGAGGGGGCGAGTTCAGGGTCCACACAGCTGGCGACATGCTGCGAAAGGGGAACCCTGTGTCCTTGAACAAACCTGAGCCAGACTAATCCAGTGCATTGGACATCCTTACTACAATCGCCTGCTGCTGCAACACTGCTATCGTTTCCTCTTACGTGAAGTATCGCTTCATCCGACAAAGTTTAAAGGTGACTTTGGGGTCGCATGTCTCTCTTATCACTAACTAATTCGTCGTCGATGGAAACCTCTAATGGACAACTACAACCCGACCGGACCAAGCTTGGGACGGTGTGTCGGTGTGGGGGCGGGGGTGCGGACGTAAACAGTGGCAAAGATAAGGATTTGGGTAAGGTAAGCCCCTTCAGTTAAACCAGTTCACTGTTAACAACTCCGCTGATGCGATCTACACATGGCTTCGATTTGTGGTGAGGCAAGTTCATTCACGTCCATCAACCTAGTCGTTGCAAGCTCATTCTGGCCTCGCTTCTCTGTTCATGCACCCACAGTACTTTTACCTCCCACTACCCATTCCACTCACATGGCCTGTTAGCCGTTTGTTCTTTTACATGTTCTCCCAAATTGTACTAATCGGCAACCCCATTTAATCAAACACGTTTATGTGCCCCTTGGCGCCACTACCAACCAGGTTGAGTTGCCTAGTAAAGTTGAGTCTCTGCCATCTCCGGTCTTCTTCTTCTTCTTGTCTCCTTGGAATCTGGGTGGGCCGAAATTCTACGCAGAGGCCTCTGCGTGGTTCAGGACCACACGCCGGAGCTTCCAGCAATTGGCGACTCCGACGGCATCTCTCAGACGCCGATGGTTTTGCATGGGGCATAGCAGAATCGTGGCAGAATCAACCCATTCCAAATATTGCCTTCATTGCACCTTGAGAAGGAAACCAGTGTACGCCTGACTCACTTGAGCGGCAACTCGTCTTCAATAAGACAGACTGATATTTAACGAGTGTTTTTCAAAGAAACAGTCAAATGACTACCAAGAGAAGCGGTGAAACGTGTCACCCAATAAGACACCCTCTCAAAGCGGGCACTACGAAATTACCTCCAACGCAAAGGCGCCCGTTGGCCGCCACCCGCATGTAAAGCCGGGGTTCGGAGGTGAGTCGGAATTGGAAGACAGGCATCAGCGTCTTGGGCTCCTTGTGCTGGCACCCCTTTGACCAATTGCCCTCGTGTCTGGCCGCCGGTCCACGGAGGGCTCGTCTGCGCGTGTTGTGTTTCACCATGACGACGTAGCCGATTGCGCAGACTGTGAAGCCGGCATCTAAGGCATCGAAATATCAGGGCTCTTGAACCCTTCGTCGGTGTTGGGAGCGTGATTTTGTGGAGGTGGCGATATTAGACCGGTGTCAATCACCTCCCACACTGCAGGTCCTAAAGCACTTGATCCCAAAACCTACATCATCTCCGTTTTGCGTACAAGGAGCTATCGTTTTTTTGTAAAGAGATGTTGTGGGTTTTTGAGGACCAATAAGTGTTGGTAGAGGCGAAACTAAGCTTTTATGAATTCTGCTATGTTACAAACGCCAGAAAGCCGCAAACGTCCATAACCACACATGCACGGGATTTCTATGCTGATGGCAGGTGTCAGGTACAGACTCTCTTTACGTAGTCTGTTCTGGAAATTGTTCTACTCAAAATGGTACCACCGCAGAATGGGATTTTGGTCAAGCAAGTGTGAGAGCGATTTCAAAGTGGTTTAGCGCATCGCCCATAACAATTAAAAGCCAATTAAAATGTCTTGGACTCGCTACGAATTCTGAAGTGTGGGCTACGTGTGAATTGAGAGCGAATCACATGCCACAACTAATCGATGTTTCGTGATATACACTTAAAACACAATGAAATCATCTACCTTTGAAGTGTATCATCATCATCGGCAGCAGCATCAGTAAAGCGGAATTAATGATGATGGTTAGTAACAAGCTAGTATTAACCAATCAAAATGCTGAATTGCATCAAATATGATTCTGCTGCCAATTTAATGAGATCACCTTAGTTGGAGCGCAATTTGGGCTATTTCCAAAGCACCAAGCAATCTATATTGATGCGCAGTTCTAAAAATTACCAAACGTAGAAAAAACAATGGTCAAAAT